CAATAAGTTTCAATAATTCTATTAGCTTAGAATTATAAATCTTGCTTTTTTATTAGTTTTTGCATTATTATATTTTAAAAAGTGTTCACAATATTCTGGGAGGTCTCTATAATAATTTTTATATGTATATAGCTATTTTAATAGCTAATTCATTATTTTTTAAGATAATTAGCCACATCATAATTATAAAAAAATATCTATATGCTGCAAATAGCAAATTAAAATTAAAGTATACAATTTAATATATGGCTTCTCTTCATTTGTTTGATAACAAATGACTAGTTATATCATGATTTTTTTATTAAAATTTTTAGTAGTTCTTTATTTTATTTCTTAATTTATAATTTTTATTCTATAAGTTAAATTAGTCCTAGATTTAGAATGTAATTCTTATTTATATATACTTGATTAATATAAAATTTGATATTATTATTTAAAAACAGAAAAAGTGTTATTTGAATAGAAAAGTTCAACTAATTAATACTTACTTGGAATCTGAAATTCTTTAGAGTACTATTTGAAATTAAAATTATAATCATTATTAGTTAGACAAAAAATTGAAGTAAAGCCAAATTAATTAAAAAATTAATCAAGCAAATTCAACAAAGAGCCAGAGCCAAGCAAAGAAGATTAGCATGTTAGCCCTTATTCTTATACTAATTAATAGTTTGCTTTGACTGGAGATTATAGTACAGATTATATGAAAAATATTTGAGTATTATTAAAAAATGAATCAGATTAGGAATATATAATTAAACCAGGAGCTTATATTATTCAAATGGTATTTTTGAAGTTAATTAATATTAGTAAACTAATATTAGTTATAACTTGAGAATAATTGAAGTACAGTAATAGAAAGAAAGATGAATTGGATCTACTCATACGATTTTGGCTTACTTTAAAGAATAAAATAATTATAATGTTCTAAAGTGACCAATTTATTTCTTTTTAACATTCGAATTTGATGAAATCAATTTTATATTGGTGATTGATTTGTCAACAGATAATGATGTAAATGTAGAAATTAATGGTAACTGTAATCGCTACTATTGATAATAGATTGCTGGTGAGTTTCGAATTGTCTTCCTAATGAACTTATCATGAAATTGGCCAGTAATATGAAAGATCATGTTTGACACTAATAGAGACAAATGGAAACTATGCTGTGCATTAAAATTAGAGTTCGTTATGCAGTTTAAGCTAAAACTTTTTATTTTTACATGATTTAGATGAATAGTTTAAAACATTTTAAACAATAATTTACAAAGAAAAAATTATGTTTTATATTTGGACTTATTAGGACTTTTGCCCTAGAAGTTATGGACCATATATAAACTGCGGAACTAACTAAGTGACGTCTAAAAACATAGTTTACTTTAATTAAAATTTTAATACTGTTATTTTTCTATTGATTTCTAATCCAGACATGACATCTAAATATAAGTACAAGCTTAGCATTGATATTGGCACAACAAGTAGAACAAAAAAATATGGATGTTCTGAAGATTTAGTATGGGAGCATACACATAATACCCCTTGGAATACAGATAAATGTTATGATTTATAGTGGAAAAATAAATATTTTATGAGATACAATTCTGCAACAATTTGTAAAGATTTAATACAATAACTTGGAGTTGCTATATTACCATTACTACGTATTCTGTAATAATTATTGTGTACCATCAAAATTATTATTTAGAAATATCAAGGAATCGGGAAAAAATGCCATATTATTTAAGGAAATTAAAGAAAACGGCAACCGATTTCTACAAAAAGAAATTTTCCGTAACCTTAATTTTTAGGGTTTGATTTTCAACGGCAACTAAACTTAAAGAGGTTAGTCACACTAAATGCAAATGATAGGCTTATATCTGTTTTGTGATTTCTGTTGTAGAAGTGAAAATTTTCACGAGTTCACTGCTATGAAGATGCAATAGCACAAATGTGTCAAATGAGCAAATGCTTTAGTTATGAGAACTCACTTGATCCTTATATTTTCTAAAAATAAGCACTCGCCTGATCCTTCTATTTTCTAAAATAAGCATGGTAAATTGAATAAAACTATGGTTATAATGGAGATTAAATGATCTTTCCCCTTGGGGATAATTACGCAAATACAATCAAGATTCTTTTTCTGTTCCGAAGGAAATAGGGGAATTTGAAAAAATGATCAACTATTTTATCGACAATATCGATATAACGATAATGACAACAAAATGACGAATTTAGCTATTACATAAAAACAGTATTTGGTATGACAATCGATACGTACATCATGATCGTCGAGAATTTCCTACATGTATTACATGTGACATTTCCTGCGCAAGAATGCAGTTTTTCAAGATTTTGTGCCATATGCAAATACATGTACCGAATTCGATAAGAAAAGCCTCACATAATAACAAAGTTTTTTTATCTGTTTCCCGATGTATCGATATAAAGAGCTCTGGCTGCATACACAAATAAAAATATGTCATTCAAGAAAGCTTTAGGTTGAATTTCAACATGTTATCAAAAAGTATATATATATATTTATTGTCTCGTTTCTAAGGACTTTATTCCTTAGTTGATAAACTTACTATTTAATCTTGTTTTATATTTCTAAAGAATCTATTTGCTAAAGATGACCGACGTGGCAAAATTGCTAAGTAAGTTATCCAACCCCGTCCCCCCGTATGTCTTGGGGTGCTTACCGGCGATTGCAACAATAGGGGCAGCACCTAAGGATGCTTTTATCGATAAGGTAAGGTTAATTTCTTCTATCGTGAAATAGTTAAAAAGATGATATGCATGAAAAACAACTATGCATCAAGGGAAACATAATGACGATCCAACATGCTATATTTTTCACTCAAAGATAACATACTAATCACTGAAACTAATAATGTAAATATTTAGCTCCTATGGGTGGTACAATGTCTTGCTTGTCCCTTCTTAGGCCTGTTTTACACCTGCAATGTGAGGAGCAACGAAACAGCAATCTACTGGCTCCCAAGTAGGTGTTTTATCGGGGTAGATGGAAGTGAAATCCATCACAGACCTTTCGGACATCGCGCCATGATGGTAATTAAGCCTGGGGCGTACTCGGAAAAACCCGGTGCAAATTCATCCCTACTCACTGACATATCCAATACAAATGCATCGGCGCTAAGAAAAGTGGAAGAGTGCATAGCAAATGCATCGGTGCTGGAAAGATTATCTTCACTGGCGTCAGCATATTACATAATGCTCGGCGCGATTATTGCAATATCCAAGGTGGTAAGACCACATACCTGTGACGATTGGCCATATTTACCATTAGCATTAGCTTGGACATTGCCAGCTATCTACAGACGAACAGTTCATGGGAGACTAATAGTCAGGGATCCTAAGAAAAGCTTAGGAGACGATAAAATAATCGTGAAGAAATTCGATGACGACGACGATAAAGAACACATGCACATCCGTGTTGTACTAACCGCCTTAGCGTCAATAGCTGTTCCTTGGATATCGGTGCTCTTGGCCTACTTTACACCTCCAAAAGGATTTTTTTGTCGGAGCAGATATCTCACAACCTTTTGCACCATATGGTCATTCAATAGTATTGTGGCATACATACACCACTGGGTGGAGGAACGAAATAAGATTTTTGATCGTATAGTTCGCATTTGGTTTTCCATTTCTGGTATCGGGGTAGCAATTCTTTTGCTTGTACTAGCTGTGCTAAGCAACGACGCATCATGGTGGGTAAGTGTGTTCGGAGAGACCTGTAATAGCGGATGCAATAAACCATCATAAGGAAAATATTATTCAGGCGATTAATATTTTACCATTTTAGAAAACAATACCATCGTTTCGAGATCATCGTATTATCTAAAGCCACTATCTGTAAAAATACAAAGACATAAGTCACGATAGTATTGATTGTACCATTCAAAATTATGTTTTAATAATATAGCAACTTGGATATATATATATATATATATATTATAGCTTATCACAAACCATCCCACCAATCTACGTATTACTCAATAAAATTTTTATGTATATTTAAAAAATGCGAAGAAATCAAAAAGTTTATTTCACTATGCATTCAATTTCTCCACCGCATCTTCATTCGATTGCATCTGCGAAATATGTTCGCATCTATCACAAATACTCATGTGTACTAGTAATATAATATCTATGGGAAGAGACATTTGGGTGTCATGAAAAATGTGCTCAACCTCAAACGAAGCGAAATTAACCCCTTCAAGACACCTACATTTAATCAAAGAGCATGAAACAATTATATATATTCGCAATGGGTTATTGTCATGCGAGAAAGGTTATGAAGATTGTAATGAAATATAGTAAATCACGATTTTGTCGTTGTTAAATAATTACGTGAACTCTTTGGATTAAAAAATAATGCTATGTCTCTTCTACATAGTTATAAATCTATTTGAAAAATCAAATCACTATGATACAGCGATTTACGTTGGTCTTGAAAGCTCGCCAAACGAAGTTTCTCGATGTTCATTATCTCTGCCATAGTGAATCTTCCAGTCTAATCAATTATTTCCTAAAAGAGATCCCTTATAAGAAAAATATGCTTATATCTGTAAAAAATACGGAATATAGTATATAAAAAAGTTTGTAAGAGATAAAAGACATAAACAACATCGTCGTCCTACACTTTCATGCATTTTACATAAAGTACATGTATGATGTCTGACTTTTTTTGTACGTTATCGTTATAGCGATAGGAAAAACTGTGACTTTTGTCAAACACTATCGAATAATACGTACAGTAATGTATATCTGACTTGTTTATTCTAAGTCTGCAGACTACGTATTTTCTCAACTACTATAAAAAGTCGATTTTTCATTAATACATGCACAACCCTTTGTGTAATCAAACTTGTTCCTGACTCTATCGCTATGCGTAATATCAATATACATGTAATATAAATGTACATGTACGTAGGTTATAAAAAAAACATGACATTTGAGACTTTGAATATTTCTTGAATTTTGATTGGTTAATATCATTTTTATGTCACATGTTGTTTATGATCAATTCATATACATGTACATGTAGTCATAACCCCTTCTATAACTTATGACTGGTCATATATATCATATAGATCATAAAAGGTCATAAGCCAACACTGGTATATTTTAAGCCAATATTTTTTGGACAATGCTATTTATTTACTTTGAATAACTAAAACCTCGATAAATGAAGTTAGTTATATAGTATATTTTTAAAATTTTCTATTAATTACTAGTCCCGAATACTTCAGTTTATTGAGTTTGGATTAGAAACAAAAAAGCATCTTTAGAAATTTTTCAAAGATAGATTCTACTTTAAAATGTTTCAACTACGGAATAACTAAGTATTCCTGCTCCAAATGAATCTTCGATAATAATAATGAATTATGTAAGTATAATACGTAATTCCAACTAAAATAATTGAATTGGGTTCATTAGTTAATAGTTTACGTGAAATCGCGACTTTCACATTGGAATATACTAATAAATTTATAGTACTTACTGTATGTTGTCTACAGATATAGAAAAATATGAGCGAGAAATTTCTGGAGTACTTCCGTATATTCGTCCAGAGGTACTAAATGGAAAGCCATACACTAAAGCTGCAAATATTTATAGTTTTGGGATGATTGTGTACGAGGTTGTCACAGGTGAACGACCATTTGGTGAACGTAGTCATGACATATACCTTATACGCGGCCAAATAATATTTTCAGATGATGCAAAATTTATTAACGAAAAGGTTGGATCTTTTTTCCAGAAACAGACCATCTGCTGATGAACTTTACGACTTTATTAACTCTATCTACAACATTAACAGTTTCATTGAGAGGGTATAACCGAATACTTTGCATTTTCAGTACTACAACCTTTTAAGATATCCAAAATGCGTGAAGAAATTTAAGTTAGAGAAGCAGAGATTAGATAAACTTGATGAGGAGATGAAATCACAAAAACATTTCTATGAATACGAACAAAAAACAACAAGTCCAATGCAATTTACACCAGTCGAGTGTTTTATACAAATTCATGTTGAAGCACTTCCAAAAGAATCAGTACTTAAAAAAAGAAGCATACTATAAAATGATTGTTTAAAAAAATCAACTGACAATAAAAATTGAGATGATTCTAATAAAAGGATCGAAGAATTTGAATGCTTGATTGTGAAAATATGGGTATTCAAAGTTTTCCCTTTAAATTTTGCGAATATGTAACTCCGAAAGTTGGTAATAAAAACCAACCAAAGCTGGGCATGAAGTACATATATAACGATAACAGAATTGGATGTTACAAAATTGCTAATTTTTCCGATCGCCGAGCTTGTCTGAACACATTTAATTTCTTTTTAACTGATTATAATTTGCCGTTCATTTACCGACTCTTCATTCTGAGTCGTTCTCAAAGACGGACGTTTCTATTTCTGTACGCGAGAACCACTAGTGAAAATATATCTTTCAAAAAAGACAAGAAAGTAAAATAAATGCTATTAATAAACATTCTAACGAAAATAATAACTCAATAATCACAGTAATCATATATTGCTATAACCCAAGGCATAGTAATCATATATTGCCATTGAAATTTATAACCCAAGGTACATGAAAACGATGTACAATAATTGAGAAACTATTGCTTTAGAATGACAATTACTACTATGCCGGTAATTCTCAATAGTAAACCATTTGTTGTAATAGCACATGATATTATTGTATAATTATTTAAGCTTTGGATTTTGCTGCTCTAAAGAGAAATGTGTATCAATAAATTTTATATGTTTCTCTTAATTACATGTATGTTTTATAGAAAACCTTACTTCGTTTAGCCCTGTTAATACATAGATTGCACCAATTACAACAAAGAATTCGAGAATTTTACTCACTAAACTCCAAGATCCCATAAATTGCTAAACTATCAAAAATATAATCAAGTTAGAAAAAGTAAAAAAAAAACAACCAAATTTTGAGTCGTATTTTGAATTTAAGAAAAATTAAAAAAAAACAACCAAATTTTGAGTCGTATTTTGAATTTAAAAACTTACAAGTATTATTTCTTAATGGATAACTATCAAGACCAATAGTAGTTTGATAAATTCCATTAATCTTATTGAATTATAAAAATGATATCCTAATTAATAAATGAATATAGAATAAAACAAAATATTAGCAAAATGCTTATACGTAACTATTACACACGTTTTTAAACGAATACAATAAGATTGATGATTCATAATTATCAATAATTTATTTGACTAATTAATAGTAATAAAATGTGTTGATAACGATAATAAAATCATTTTTTACACAAAATCTACGTATAGCGATATTTACGTAAGTGATAACTATAATGAATCCCTTTTTAGAAATTCACCAAGGTTGAATATCGTGCAAAAGGAGGATTGGAAAAATTTATAAGCAACCTAGTCGGACGGAGAATTGTCCAAGTGGTGGGACCATGAAGAAAATAAATTTAACCTAACTAGTGAGCATGAAGTTACATTGAAAACTCATTATGAAATTCAAAGCAATATCACTCGAACTTATAAACGAGGTAAAATGAACACATTTTAAAGTGTAAGTATATTGCTTTTTTGTTTTTAATAATTAACTTTCAAAATTAGATTCAGACCGCTCTAGATCTTTGTAGAGGGTTGAATAAAATTCACAATGAGGAATTTGTGCATCGTGACTTTCACCCTGGAAATATATTAATACTAGATGAACGACCATTCGGTGAGCGAAATCATGATACACCTTGTATGCGACATCTATAATGGAGTACAAACTACGATAATGTTCTTGGATGGTACGAATTCATTATTGAAAAATGTTAGGATTTTATTCCAGAAAACAGGCCAACCTTTCGGAACTTCAATAATTTATCAACTCATTTGCAATATTATAGCTCTTTAGAATATCCAAAATCGAGTGAAGAATTAAAGTGTGTCTTAAACTGGAAAGAAAAGAAATTGATGAACTTAATGAGATGAGATCGCAAAAAAGCATCCGTAACAAACAAAACATCCACCTAAACGCAGTTTATACCAGTCGAATCTTTACTTGAGAACTAATTTTAATTTCAAATGATACAGATACATTTCCTTTCAAAATAAAATTCATATTGACATTTCATATTAATTCGAATACTTAGATTCTATAAATATCAGTTTGTATGTTCCAAATGAAGTTAAAGTTGGACTCAATATATACTATTTTTCATTAATTTATTTAGTTAAATGGTTTTTTTTCTTTTGTGGTGCAAACAGATTTCGATTTTAATACATGTATCAATATCATGTAAATGTACACTGTATAATCTTGGCAAATGAATTGCCTTACAATCAAAATTTTTATTCTATCATATTCACAGATGAAATTTTGTATTTACTTCTTAGTAAAGAAGTAAATCTATTTTATAAAATACAAATATCAAATTTTATACACCATAGTCACAACAACCGAGATGATTTTAATATTAAAGCTTCAATAATGTTGGACAGAATAGTATCATTGTTATATAAAACGTGGTTGAAATAATTCATATTTTTCAATATAAAAATAAACTGCTTCATTTTCGGCTGTAAGAACTACAGGGTTCTCCGAAAAATAACTCATGATCAGGATGATACCATGAATGTCAACTTCCTTTATTGCTTTAATTAAAATTTCTTTAGGCTTCGCGTGAAAAAAACAATAATTTGTATCCCCGGATGATTGGATTATAGCCGTCAATGACTTCACTAGAATAATTAAATAAAATTTAAGTTCTTTTTATTTTATTCATTCTGCTTTTGCACAATGATTCTGACAAGATTTTCGAATATGGCATACTCTATTATAACAATCTACTTCACGATAGCAGTATGTGATCAGAAAAGTCTCACCTATATCCTGTATAACTCTAAATAACCGTTCATTGTGGAATTTTTTTACAGAATTGTGCATAACCTTATTATAATTATTGCCATTAATTTTATTTGATAAGAAGATGCATAGCATTAGTATATATTAAGCTAGTCAAGAGATTCATTAAAGTTTTTATAAATCAAATGTAATAGCTCAGGAACGTTTCTGCCAAAGTATTCATTAAAGTGTTTATAATCAAAGTGCAATGTATTATCTACTTAATTAATAGTCAGAAACCATTTGGGAACTTGAACTGTTGTAATCTTGTACCATTCTGGATCCTGTCGGAATTTGGGTGTCGGAGATTCTATTTATAAGTATTAGTATCACCAGCGCTATCGCTATTGTTCTTACGTCATTATAATTTTTAGCATTTCATCACAACTTTGTGCATCAATTTTTTTTGACAGCAAACAACAATTTTATTCCTAATAATCATTAACAAGAATATATTTTAATTAATGGCTAATACATGAACAACAACTATATGATATACTATCCAGGACATGAATTATATTTTAATTTTCCGGCAAATGTGAGATTCTGCCTGTTCTGTCTCGAAAATACAGAATTTAAGATATTTAATACTTAGAATTCTGGCTAACCTATCAGGTTTCCAGCATATTTAAATGCTGCGGGGAAAAATTGTGTTTTAAAATCATGCCCTGATACTACCTACAAAAGTTCATGTATATTTACAATCTATCTACGAAAAGTCCATGTATATTTGTGAAAAGTTCATGTATATTACAATCTATCTACGAAAAGTCCATAACAATTATTTACAAATGTTCATGTATATTTACAAGCCCAGCCCATTGTTAATTCCATTCCGTAAGGATTGAATAAAATCATTTGACCAATGCTTATATATTCGTGATGTCATAATGTTAATCTCGTAATGTTAATGTCGTAATGTTAATGTCATGATGTCAATGATGTAAATGTTATGATGTTAATGTCGTAATGATGTTAATGCCGTAGCATTCCACAAAAGGAAGGTAACGATGTTGATGCCGCCGTAATGATGTTGAGTGTTCTGGAAAAACTTGTCAAATATTTGCAACGAAATATATACGGCGAAGTCAATGAAAGGAATGGATAGGATATAGGATATAGAAATGAGAATTATTGCGTTTTGTAAAAGGAATGACTTATCCATTTGGTTTGTATTTCTAATAAGTTAAGAGATAATTGAAAGAAAAATCTATCTACGAAAAGTCCATGTATATTTAAAATCTATCTATGAAATGTTTATGTATATTACAATCTATCTATGAAAATTTGTGTATATTACAATCTACCTATGAAAGTCCATGTATATTTACATATATTCGTGAAGTCATTATGTTAATGTCGATGTTAATGTTGTAAATGCTATGTGAGGTCGTAATGATGTTAATGCCGTAGTGATGTTAAACGTTTGAAAAAAAAAACTTTCAAATATTTTAAACTTTTGCAACGAAATTAATGATTTAAGGAGATATACGATTTTTACAGCGAAACTAATGATACGATGCGATGTTATGTTTGTGACGAAATTAGTGAGTTAAGGGAAATACGATGTTAAAGGGTATTGTCAAACTGAAGAACTTTTGTATATACATCGCAGCAAGCAGTCTCAACCAAACCATTAAAGAGTCGAGTCCCTTATGTTTTAATGAAATAGTATGTAGTTTGGTTCATATGAATGTATACGGCGAAGTCAATGAAAGGAATGGATAGAATATAGGATATGAGAATTATTGCGTTTGTAAAAGGAATGACTTATCCATTTGTATTTTTAGTAAGATAATTGAAAAGAAATTTATGCGTTTTTTGCGGGTATGTGAGTTTCTTTTATATTGTTTTTGACTAAACAGTTTATATAAATAATTGTATTCTAAACCAGTATCTTGTATTAATAATATTATTTCGTATCGTCTTTTTATGCAATAACGTAATTATCACTCACAGATGTTCAGATAGAATGTTAAAGAATAGTAAGGAACAAAACCACGTAAAGTAGATCGTTAGACAATCGACAAAAACAAATGATTATTTACTTATTATATGTTAGAATACTGTATAATTATATATTAGATAATTAAAGCCATGTATGATAACAAATCTTGAGAGCGTCTCTATGCAAAGTACGTATTGATCAGATTTTGAGAGAGAAATTTTCTCTTATGTGAGAGTGAGTGTGTTGAGAGGGGAAAATGCATATTTGTTAATTATCAGCTGGTTACTACGAAGTCATATTAGACATATCACTTATTCTTATCGTTATAGCGGTCACTTTAGTTTGAACGTGTGTATAAATTATTTTAATGTAACATTGGAGTGAATTATAATTAGATCATCGATTAGAGTAAATTTTTTTGGGACGTTTTCAATGATAAAAGTTATAATATAAAGATATGACCTATAATTGTTGTCACTGGACATGTCGAACAAGTTACCGAATGTATATGAATGTATATGAACGTCCATATCAATAGGTATTTTGTTTGAAAACAACATGTTCGGACAAACCCTATATACATGTACATGGTTTGATATAAACATTGAAAAAAAGTAGATGATTAAACTTTCTGTAATTTATATGTAATAGTGATGATTATCGTGATGTAACACCATACGTATTTTTTTTACGTGTTATTATCGTGATGTAAATCATTACTGTTAGTGACACATGATTTCCAAGGAACGCCACCCCATTTATTTTTAATGAGGCGTAAAAGTAAAAGTTGTAGCAAAAAACTCACATAGTCGTTAACCTATTCAATAAACTAAAAATGACGTTCTAGTATCCTCTTTGTAATAAAACAAATAATCAAAATGTTCTTTAAGCAAAATAAATATTATGCTTATAATCTCTGTGATAATGGTTAGAAAGTCATATAAGCAAATGATTATTACTATGTTAATGGTGCGGACTTTAAAATTTTTCGTCTTGTAAGTCTTTCAGTAGCCGCAGCGGCGTCAGCTGGGAAAAAATGAGTGTAACTTAGTTTATCAATTTCCTTATCTGTGATAGGATAATTCAAAAATAACGATATACCAAAAATTTAACTCTCTTAACAAAACAATTAAAACTAACAATACTCCCAAAAATTTTCTCTTAACACAATCAAAGTAACCATTTTTTCTTAACACAATCAAAGTAACCATTTTCTCTTAACACAATCAAAGTAACCATTTTCTCTTAACACAAAAAACCATTTAATTACAAAAAACATGGAAGCAATCACCAACCGTCAAGTCATAATAAATCTATTCGGCGACCTTTCTCCGCTGTGTATACTATTTAATTCGAGACTTAAAACTGTCATCGCGTCGCGTATATATATTCCAATTGACAATCAATGCTCGAACTAGTAGTGGGAAAACGTTATACGATGAGGCGCCACTCTTTCAAAAGGAAGACAAATTCCTTATTGTTAGTTTAAGGCTTGGGATCTTAAGCGGTAAATAAGGGGTCGAAAGTATGTTGAGGACGCATAAAGAAAAATGGCGAGTCAAAAAATTATAAATTTCGAGGTTTGCCGTGATTTGAATTTGAATGGTTGGTGTCTTCAAACAATTAATGAAACTAAAAGTGAGGGCATTTTCATTTTGTGCACATGCTTAATCGAATCATTCAAACGGAGGGTTTAGTGAGTGGTTCACAAGCATCTTTCTCAACATTTTTTAAAAGATTAAGGAAGATTTTTGTAACCGCTGACTAAAAACCCCCGTTTGATGAAGGTCTTACGTGAATCACTCACTGAAACTGTTTGGATAATCCTAGTTTCCTCGATAATAATGTTCAGAAAGATCTGTGAACCATCCACCAAAAAACCCTCCGTTTGAGGAAAAATTTCATATAGATAGTCTTAGTTTCCTCGATAAGCAAAATATTTGTGAACCACCTACCAAAAAATATTTACTCTCGTCTCTGTAAAAAATTTTTTACCACCGCCTTTCGAACAACATATCAATCAGGTGGGCTCGGTTTTCTCTTATTTAGTGCCTGTGGTAGAGAGCATAGCTTCTGTTAAGCAAGAAGGAAGCGCCTGCGACAGAGAGAAACTGTCGGAAGCCAGCAATGGCGAGTCATCAACCAGCGATGGCCGGCTGACTTCATTGCGCAGATTTTATAAGGGCTTGTTTGACACAAAAGGGCGCCTGCGACAGAGAGAAACTGTCGGAAGCAAGCAATTGCGAGTCATCATCCAGCGATGGCCGGCCCTATGTGAAGAACGCCTAATTTATTGAATTTTTCATATATTTTGTTTGATAAGATACTCAACTTTCTATTTTTTTGTACTCAAGAATGAAATCATCATCGTGCAAGTTAACTCGGATAGAATGCAATATTAATTGGATGCTAGCTTGTCCTGATCCAACCCCGATCGCATTTTTTCGATATACATTTCCAGCACATAAAGCTAAAGCGCCTGATAATTATCGGAAAACACTTGATCTGGCTTTGAATACGGCTAACAATCAGGAAATAAAAGATAAGCTCAAAATAATGAAAGAAACGGCGGATGTATGTAATTAAAAGTTTTTGTCATATTATAAAATACTTCTAAATCTGATTTCTTTTTTTGATAGGATGAAAAGATTCTGCGTGGTTGGGAATCATGGATGCAAGAAAAAACAGCGGTATGTCCGTTTGCTGACTCTTTAGATAGTTTAACTTAATATTGATAAAATTCTGCATTACATAGATTCTTGTTCGTCGTAATGTACGTAGTACCAATCTTAATCTTCACAAAGAGATAAACACGTTGTCATTAAACAAGGTAAGGTTATTACTATTCAGAAATAACTAAAGGGCTTGCCATAAATATTTAACGATTATGAAAATTTTTATTACAGGACGAATCATTGGCAAAAAATACCAACTTAGGTATAAGTGAAGAAGATCAAGAAGAACAGGAAGAAGATATAAACGAAACCGAAGAATTTTTTATAAGCAAGGGTAATGACGACGAGGTTTATAAAGATGGTATCGACGATGGCGACAGTGATAATAACTTCATAGTATGTGAAGAAAATCAACTAACTACTCGTCGATCGTGGGTTCTCAAAAGTGATATCAACGTTGAAGACGAATTAGCAAAATATGTTAAGACAATTCCTGAGGCTCATAAATGTTTGAAGCAAGTTTTTTGAATTGGCGGAGGTCATAAAAGTTAGTGATGATTATATTTAATCTTAGAATTCTTTATAGCCTCGCGTACTGGAACATTCTCGATTTAACACAAGACACCCAAATAAAACCTTTTTTTCAACGGATGACTGGGAAGAAATAAATGAAAGCTTTAAAAAAGAAGTAAAATTAGTTGAATCGGACATACCAGATGTTGTTGAATATTTTTTCGATGAAGTGGAAAAGGTTGATGAAAGATCTATCTTGTTATGGCATTTTTTTAAAATGGCACTAACACTATATTTTTAGGTATCCAAAAAAAATGATGAATATATTATCAATGCGATTGATGATTTGACTCCAGAGATGATAGAAAAAAATAGAAAAGTCAAATTCAGTGATGAGGATATAATGGATTAAGACGTGCCGTTATTACCTAGTGAGTTAAATATAATAATTATTTTCTTTTATTAGCATTTGATAGATTACAGCACATCACATAATTTTTATCTAAATTTTCCAATCTTTTATCACAGTGCCCGAAAATTTGAAGGATCTTGAAGTTCCCATATCAGAATCCGACTTTGACAATTCATTTCCAAATATGTTAACAAAAAGATTTTTAAACAAACGTGATCTCAAAATGGACGTGTAAGTATAAATAAGAATACAATGGCTAAATCTTTAAGTAGTAATTATTTGTTTTTTACAATTCTATAGCGGGGAAATTGCTTGTTGGGCTTCTGCCCGTCGAAGAAACGAGGGACGCTCAATAGTCCTCCGAGCACGCATAGGCCAAAAGTGCGATTTTCGGGGTACTTTGAAAAACAGCATTAATAACCTTGAAGCCATTATTGGCCTTAGAAGTGGTGGTCTCCCTGTTGCACATCGCAAAAAATTCACGAGGTTAGAGTGGATCTTTCCGTAGCAATGCGCGATGTTCTGTATAATTTTTTTAAAACAAATCAAAATGCATCTGGAAATGAGCTTCATAGACTTTTATGCTACTATGTCAGACATCAAGGTAATATATGCTTACTATCGTTGCAGTTTGGTTCATACAAGATCTCACTATTATATTCATATTATTTCAGTCTACGTTGAAAATAATTTGTGATCACACAAATAATGTCTCACTTTCTGACTCGCGTTTACATAGAGAACGCAAAAGAAAAATTCCAGTTTACAGCGAGCAATCCGGATTGTTCGGTACACCTTCATCAAGTCCGATAAAGAAAGGTAAATGTGAAAAATGTGAAAATTCTTGAAGTTAAAATAGATAATTGGGGCAATGCAAACTACATACCAACTGTAACTGTTTAGTAAAACGTCATGCAATTATTGTAATAAAATGCAATTAATGTAATTGCTTAAAGTTTTAATTTCATTTTCAGAATATTAATTGAGACATCACGAAATTTGTTATAATCCACAATCACAATACAATTTTTGCTAAGTATGCTAAGTATTATTGCATTTCGCGTATTCTAGATAAGTGATTCGCAATAAGACAATAAGAAGTATAATTCCGATGACAAAATGTCATTGGTTTTATCTATGATAATAAATAATATTTGAATAATTCACATTTGTATAAAAGTTATCGTTAAACATGCAATCCGAAATTGATTTATTGAAACAGGAAAACGCCAGACTTATGGCTAGAATCAATGAATTGGAACAGATTGCGAAAGAAAAAGATGAGCTTGAGGTTAGAGTTGTGGAATTAGAACGGACTACAAAGTTAAGTCAAACAGAAAATACCGATCTCAAGAATGAAATTGAAAATTAAAACGAGCTGTTAAGAATATTGAAAAGCAAAATCGACCAGTTACTAATGATTTAAAATCTTCGGAATATTCCACTCCATTACCTAACAAGAGTTGCTCAAATGGTGAAAATGCGCAGATTAAAGATTCTTCAACTCACCACGAAGTGGATCAATCCATAACTAGCACTGACTCAGTAACTTCAGAACAGGTAGTTAACACAATTTCCAATACATCTAACCTTAATGAAACTTGCTCCAGAAAATCTAAATCATTAGAAGATAAAGAAATTGATATCTTTTTAGATTCAGAAAATAAGAAAAGGATTAGTACTGAAATAAGGTAGAGGAATATGGAAAAAAAGCTATTATATAGTAATGAAGCTTCCACTTCTCAGGATCAAGACCTATCTTTAGCTAATCAAAATACTTCAACAGGATCTGAAAAAACAATAACATTCTTATCATTATGTAATGCAAAAACTGTGACAAAATATTATGATCTTAACAATTCTAATACTACCTCCAAAATACTTGAATCAGACAATCAAATTGTAGAAGATTTAATATAAGAGATAATTTATGATCAAGAGAAAATATTGTTTCTTCCAAAATTAATTCTTTATATTCAAATAATGATGAGGATATGGCTTCAGGTTCTGTGCAAAATTTATCAGACTTATTTGATAAAGCAATTAAATCAGATCAGAAATAAATTTTAAATTGGTATTATTATTTTTTGAAATTTGAAAACAAGATTAAAAGTAGGGTTCCGAAAAAAAGTCTGGTTCAGTTCGAGTCTTTTTCGGTTCGAGCTTGAACCAGACTCAAATCTGATGAAAAGTCTGGTTCAAAAATTTGAACCTTATTAAAAGTCTGGTTCGAGTTCAGTTTAAATTTTGAACCAGACTCAAATCTGACCAAAAGTTCAGTTTGAGTTCAAGTAAATGTTCTAAGTAAAGTTGTAGATCGTAACATGAGTTACAAATTGATATAAGATAGTTAATATTTAGGATGAATATTTAAGAAGTTATATGAATTTAAAAAA